ACAATGCTTTTAAAATGGTCTTTGGAAATTTAAGTTGTGGAAACCTGCAGAAACTTTGTCCCTAAAACAATGGATCCTTTTGTAGCATCTCAAACGTGTTGTGTGTTTGAGATGCTACGTTTGATATATGGAACATGGGAATATTAAAGCGGACCTGTTCTGCTTATTTCCATATATGTATTTTTTGATTACTGTAGAGCAGCTTAGCATGATTCACAATTCGAATTCACAAATACACCCACTGTCTGAAACGAGCAGTTTTAGATCCTCTCCTTTTAAGTAGACTTCTCTGTGATTGGCTTTTTCTCTGCCTGGAAAAAAATCATATCTGGGGATATCCATTTAAAGTGACGTCATAGAGATTCAAGAGAAGAAAAAAAACTTCTGCGTTTAGTACAGGGATTACTCGTACATAGCATGAGCACCAGTATAAACATGACAGAAAGTAAGAGCACAATAGGTCCACTTTAAATCTGTTTATTTATTTTTTTCCTTTTTTTATCCTTTGCAGTGGGATTTCACCTGCCATTTCTGTAACACAACAGATGACTGAGATGAGTCTCTCCTCTGAAGAGAAAGGAGCGTCAGGCAGTAAAGTGGAGCTCATAGAGCCAGGTGGGCACTAAAAATGGATCTGTTTTCTCCGTCCATCCATTCTCTTGAATCGGGGGTGGCTGAAGCCTGGAGCCTAGAGTCTATCCCAGCTGTCATAAGGCGAGAGGCAGAGGGACCCTGAAGAGGTCGCCACCCTGTCAAAGGGCTAACACATAGACAGACAACCACTTTACTGAGTGTTCAGTCCTGAGGGTGGAAAAGTGTGACTAACAGATTTATGTTCTGCTTTTGCCCTTATTTTTACCATGAAATGAGAAACGTGTCATTAGTATGAGGTTATTTAAGGTAGAAATGAAAGAAATGGTGAATATTTGTGTTTTCACCACCCAGTTTACAAACCTTTATACGAAGGCCTAGCTCTAGTTTAAGTCTAGTCTTTTTTCCTTCTTTTTCCAGTTGTGAGTCAGCCAGCCGTCTCAGCCTCGCATCCCTCCACTGCTGGCAGTGAAGACTCCAAATCCCCCGAGCCCCCCAAACCCAAGAAGAATCGGTGCTTCATGTGTCGTAAAAAGGTTGGCCTTACAGGTAAGATGTCTCACAAAGAGATGGATGGATTTTTAAAGTCACTAGCAATTTTCCCTCTAATTTCTCATATGTCTGAGCAAACACAAACTCCCTGCGCGGACCCTTGGACCATTGTGAGCAACGGCAGACATGTGCACTGTGGTCACACCAGCATAGACTATGTGCACCTTAGCATATTCTACTTCCGGTGGAGAAACTCCTGTATAGCACTTTGTTTCCGGTGTGATATTTGCTCCTTGTTTACTGTCGGTTTTCCAAAACAAGTCAACCAAATGGATTAATCAAGTGGCGATTTGCATTTCTCAAGATGTCTTGGGCATTTAC